AAGTTATATTTCCATTTTTTTTTTTTTTTTTAAATATCTTTATTGATTTCAGAGAGAGGAAGGGAGAAGATACAGATGGAAACATCAATAATGAGAGAGAATCATTGATAGGCTGCCCTCTGCACGCCCCCTACTGGGGATCGAGCCTGCAACCTGGGCATGTGCCCTTGACTGGGATGGAACCTGGGATCCATCGGTCTGGTCTGCAGGCCCACGCTCCACCCATTGAGCCACACCGGCTGGGACCCTACGTGCTATTTGTACCTGTCCCCTGCTCCAGGTTCCTCACCCAGCCCCCTCCTTGACCCTCCTGCCTCCCGCCCACCTTGGCCTCGAGGGTGCTTTCAACATCCCGGTCGGATCCTGCCCTCCCCTGCGCTCATCCAACCATATCCCACCCCGCCTTGCCCCTGGGTAATACCAAAGCCGCTCAGACCGGCATTCAAGGCCTCCAGGGTGACCCTGCCCACATCCCCGCTCTCAGACCCGAGCCCCCCGCCACACGTGGCGAATGGCGACCTCGACAAGGTCAAAGGAGTCCCTGTCCCACAGCAGGTCATCCTGCCGGTTTCTCCAGCCCGAGGGGCGTCATCAGCGCCGTAGAAATCCCGGGAAATTCCAGGGCCGTGCCACCCAGGTCCCGCACCTACACCTGCAAAGCGGCTGGGAAGAGAAGTTGCAAAGGAGGGGAGGGTCTCGCCGGAAGAGGGGGGAGGGCTGACCGGAACAGGGGCACCCCTTTCCGTGAGGGATGGCTTCTTTTGATCTCTGCAGTGTCCACCCCAGGACTGACCTGTACCAACCCCGCCTCCCCAAAGGGCGTCTCCTCCCCACCCGCACCCCATGCTTGCACCCCTCCTGGCAGGCGCCGGAGAGACTCGCTCTAAAACCCGGGGGGTGAGACGTAGACGACCGGGAAGGACCCCGGGGGCGCTGGGGCCGAGCGGGGTGGGATTCCGAGGTCAGTTTTCAGGGCCACCCCCACCCCCATCTGCTCCGGGGCACGGCGGACCTGGGGTGGCTGGAAGGCCAGAGGATCCCATGTTGGGGGGTTGGGAGCGGACTCGGATTCTCTCCCCTCCCCTTCGGCTTCGGGAAGGCGAACCCCGACCCCCCAAAAGTCCCAAACCAAGTGAGGTGGGCGCCCCACGTCCCCAGGCACCGCCCCAGCGCCCCGCTCCGCCTCGCGGAGCATGCCGGGAGAGGAAGTTCTCAGCCACGTAGTGAAAACAGGCGGTCCGCAGGCTGGGACTACGAGTCCCAGGATGCATTGCGCCCCGCAGCCGAGGGCGGGGCCGTGGTTGCCCGTGGCAACAGCGGGGCGCGCGAGCTG